CTCTAGTTGAGTGCCAATAGATTTGAACACATTTAGTGCACAAAGAAATATGTTGCTGCTCAATTCTTTTTTTATTCGTATTTTTATTCTTTGACATTTTGGGATCCTTGTTTAATTTAACACACAAACAACACGGCTGACATGATAACTTCTTTTATGGAGGCCAGTGAACTGAGCAAGGAAGGATTTCCTGCAGAGACACATGAAATCCAGAAACCAGGTGATGGGGTCATGTTTCCACTCACACAGGGATGAACGTGAATGAAAGAGTGGAAGTACAAACAAGTTAGGATAAGTTTGTAAAGTATCACGACATGAATGTTTAGAGGGAAAAGCTGCAGGAGCGAACTACCTCCAGTAGATGGCAGTAGCTCCGCCCCTCCGTTAAACGCCAAAGAAGAAGAAGAAGAAGGTGAATTTGGTTCAGGCACATCCTCCGTCGCGTTGTTTGGGGTCCTGACTGCAGGCTCGGCGCCAGTCTCCGGCTGTGGTCGAAGCTCGAGTGGATACGTGGAGAAATTAAGCGAAAGATTCATTGAAATCAAGTGTTCAGGAAACTTCGGATCCTCCGTCGTCCAGCGATGAATCTGGAACTTCTCGGTGAGAAACTCAAACTCAACGTTTCGACAAAATCCTGCGTCTCTCGCTGTGTCCTTGTTATGGTTAGCATTAGCCTAGCATGGCAACAGCTGCCGATACCAGTTTAATGACAAAATTAATCATTTGAGTTTCTTTTAACTTTCTAATGTTTTTTTTTATTTGAATTTCTTCCTAACCCGATGAACCGATCCCGAGAATTACTTATTTATACACGGTTTCAATTGAATGGAGGCAGGAAAGCGTCCGTACTTTTTCTCTCCAGTTGTATTTGAATGTTTGTTTGTTTCCGGGACGCGATCGCACTTTGTGTTTGTTCATGTTCACGTTATGGTTTTCTGTGAAGGTGAATGGGACCAGGGTGAGATAAACCACACACAGCTGGTCCATGTGACAGCGTCACCAACGTCAGTGTTCAGGGAAAACATTTACCAGAGCTGGTATTATTCACAATGGAGGAAAAACACGGATTTATTCAGTACATCTGCTTTTACCGAAAGGAACAAGGATCAGAAACAGTAAAAGGATCTGTGTATCATTAACGAAGTCGTCTGTTGTGTAGTATCCTGACTCCAAGTCTATTGTTTAATGTACCTACTATCCACAGTGTGGTTCCTGTGTTTGGCCTGATGTTGTGTGAATGGGAGAAAGTTTGGAAGATTTCTGTATTTCTACAAGTACAACACTAAGTGGGAGTTTCTGTCGCTTTAATCCACACAACACGAATGGTTGTTTTTACGTGAATGTCTTTCTCATCACTGCCTCTTCGTTATTCCTCTTCTAGAATCGTTCGGGCAGAACTACCCAGAGGTAAGCCCACAGATCTTAATGTACACATGAGCTTGATTGAAGTCGATTGAGTTGTAATGTGACAAGCTGCTCCTGGACTGCTGGTTTCATTGTGGTTGTGTGTGTTGTTAGGAGGCAGATGGCACCCTGGACTGCATCAGTATGGCCCTCACCTGCACCTTCAACCGCTGGGGCACCCTGCTGGCAGTGGGCTGCAATGATGGCCGCATTGTCATCTGGGACTTTCTCACGCGGGGAATCGCGAAAATTATCAGTGCACATATTCACCCGGTCTGCTCTTTATGGTGAGACACTTAATACAGTATGTGTGGGGGGGGGTATGATTTTTTTGTTTTGAGGTTTGAATTCAGTTCACAAAGCAAAATGGTTAAACTGACAATCAGTGCCAAGCTCCTGAGCAGTGTTTCTCAAATCTCTATTTTATGGTGTTTGTGTTGTGGTCTGACGATATCGCCACATACACAGGTTAATGATGAGAGCTGTGCGATCAGCTGTTGTCATATTGAGTGATCACATCATGACAGAAACTGCGTATGTGTGTCTGTAGTTGGAGTCGAGACGGACACAAGCTGGTGAGCGCCTCCACAGACAACATTGTCTCACAGTGGGACGTCCTGACTGGAGACTGTGACCAGAGATTCCGTTTCCCCTCACCCATCCTGAAACTGCAGTGCCACCCCAGAGACATGTGAGCGACTGGGCAGCATCTGTCTGTACATGTGACACATGAGGTGATTGGTTGGTAAGATAAAAAAAAATGATGTCTCTGTTTTAGGGACAAGGTGCTGGTATGTCCCATGAAGTCAGCCCCGGTTCTACTGACTCTGTCGGACTCCAAACACGTTGTCCTGCCTGTGGATGATGACTCAGACCTGAATGTGGTGGCCGCCTTTGACAGACGGGGCGAATACATCTACACAGGCAACGCCAAAGGAAAGGTCAGTTTCTCTTTTAGTTGAACTGTATTCAAGGTACAACATTCATTCACATCATTACATTTCAAGATGGTAAATAAGAAATGTGTAGAGGAAAGCAGCGGAACATCACTTTGGATGTATGTATGTGTTGAATTTGAACATTTCTGAAAAGGCATCATGGCAGATATCGATGCATCTAACCCTCCAGAGAAATAACACTTATAACACTTTCCTCCATTTTATACTCAGAACTGTTCATAGTTTATGAAGCTGTGTTCCTTTTTTCAGTTTTACTTCACCGCTGTATCTTCCTCTGTCCGTCTGTTGCAGATTCTCGTGTTAAACACAAACACTCAGGAGCTGGTGGCGTCTTTCAGAGTGACCACTGGCACCAGTAACACGACGGCCATCAAATCCATTGAATTTGCAAGGAAGGGCAGGTGAGAGAACACAAAGAAATCTGCTTTAAAAGTCCCAGCTGTAAAATCAGAGTTATGTTTATGTTTTTCCTCCTGTCTCTCTAATTTTACTTGATCTTTGTCCACCTGTCCTGTTTTCTGTGCAGTTGCTTCCTCATAAACACAGCAGACAGGATCATCAGAGTGTACGATGGCAGGGAAATACTGACCTGTGGACGAGACGGTGAACCTGAACCAATGCAGAAACTACAGGATCTGGTCAACAGGTATGTCACCACAGGACAAACCACAGTTTTGTAGTGCTGCATCTGTCCCTTCATCTTATCTCTGTGTGTTGATTGTCCTCGACCCCTGATCTCCCTGTTCAGGACGCCGTGGAAGCGCTGCTGTTTCTCCGGGGATGGTGAGTATATTGTGGCGGGTTCAGCCAGGCAGCACGCCCTCTACATCTGGGAGAAGAGCATTGGCAACCTGGTGAAGATCCTGCATGGAACCAGAGGAGAGCTGCTGCTGGATGTCGCTGTAAGGATCAACTGAAATTCTGTCTCAGTAGAGCCCAGTGTCCAGACTTAACGTTTGACACAACACTGTTGTTAATGTAGTTTCTGTTATTTTGAGACGATTGGTTAAAAACATGTCCCATCTAACCTTGAACCTCTCTTCAGTGGCATCCTGTACGTCCAATTATCGCCTCCATCTCTAGTGGAGTGGTGTCCATCTGGGCTCAGAATCAAGTGGTAAGTAGACAGTAATAGTGAAGTTTACATGTTCATAAGTGTCTCAGATGATTTCCTTCAGTATTAATTCTTTCATATTTTTGATACGCAGTTAAAAATGTCTGAATGTTTGTGCGTCTGCAGGAAAACTGGAGCGCCTTTGCTCCGGACTTCAAAGAACTGGATGAGAACGTGGAGTACGAGGAGCGAGAGTCTGAGTTCGACATCGAGGATGAAGACAAGAGTGAACCTGAGCAGACAGGTAAACCCCCCC